AGACAGACAGACAGACGGACGAACAGAGAGGTATGGGAAGGAAAAGAGAAAAAGGAAGATTTGGTGGGTGGATGGGGGAGTGAGGAGTGATGTCTTGGAGGAATTTTATCCTCTACTGGTCAGTCTGAAGACTGAAATTACTTGTGTGAACACTCAAACACAGGGCGTATACATGGGCGTATACACTGATTTTGGACAGGACGAAACATCGAACAATCACACGAAAGGGCGTATGCCCACAGATGGCACATTTTCCCAGTGGAATTATAAAAAAAAGTGCAAAACTAATCTTGCTAATTGTTTGATATCTTATCTTGCACACAATATCCAAATATTGCGATGGTAGGATGCAAATTCCTATAATGACAAGGGAAAAGGATAAAGCAACCTAAGTCTGAAAATCTTTAAATCGTTCTCCTGAAAAAGTAAGAAAACAGGGAAACGCTCTTTGGTGTGATAGACGACGAATTGTTTATGATCCTCGGTAAAGGGGGGAAGTAGCATATGATCAAAATCTACCAGAAAACACTGGCTTACTTCTGGACTTCTTAACTTTATTGTCATCGATCTTGGGACTTATTAGTAAGGTGAATTAGGGACACGTAACCATCGAATCGTGCAAATAGGTGAAGAAAGCATGAATTTTCCCAGGATGTTGTTATAAGGTTCAATTTGCGATATAGCACCACTTTTTATAATCCCTCTGAGGGCAGAGGTATTATCAAGTAAAAGTGGAAAAAAATGAATCTCAAACGCTGAAAGCAAGGATGAAATTTAAAGCACAGGTACCAAAACACCACGTGTCTACTTGAACTAATGGAAAGGAAGCGTATAAAAGTCCCACAATAATCCAGCGAGAAAGAATTAGCAAGACTACTAAACACATCCTCCTCATTTACAAGTGAGAAAACAAAACGAAACATGGCGTAAGCGGTCACAATACGCCTCCGTATATATATATTCTCACAAAGTGGCGTAAACAAGGCTTACGCCTCTATGTGAGATGCAGTTTCCTGCCCGAGAGCTATAGGGCTAACTATTTCTTGCTCATAACTCCCCCATTTTTAAAGCTACCGATACGTCTTTTTAAGAAAACATTGATCTCAGTACCCGACATACACCGGTCGAGATATGAGATGTGTGATACACGTAAATGGAAGAAAATGGTGTTTTACGCATGAACAGTGTTCGTGTTTAAAAAAGAGTGGAAGAGCCAATATGGTGTAGATCTAAGTAAAATATTTTTTTTTTTAGGAAGAGCCATGATTTTTCAATAGGCTACGAACCCTCTACCCACATATTTATATTACATAGCCTTAAATCTTGATCGAAAATAGTGTGTGATTGTGTGCGTAATACGAAATCATTATTCTCATCCTAATCAGTGGGTACCTGTTTGGGTTTTGTATTTCAGTTTTTCACCCTCGACACCATCATCATCGTCATCATCATTACTGTCGTCATACAGAGTGAGTATTATCATCGTTCTGAACATCATCACAAGCAGAGCTGGTGATGGAGCACAAGTACTGAGCTCGCCACCTAAACTTACTTCACATCACTTGCTGGGTGGGTAGGGTACAACAGATAACAGAATTCAAGATCGCCTTGAGCAGTTTCGAAGAGACCAGGTGTACACTCTACATCTTATCACTTTCCCAGTATCAGAAAAATATACCAAGTATGCTGGACTGCACCTATCATAGCACTGACAGGGTCCAGTCTGGTGATTCTTTTCTGAAGAATGCGCTAAGGGCAGCCAGGCAAGGTATCGGCAGTGTTAGAGCAGGTATGGGTGACAACAAGAGTCCACCCACGTGTTTCAGATGTTGACAACCCGACACGAATTGCAGGCAAAAGAAACTGTGGTGCAAGTTATGCAGAAAGAATAATCACTCTGACAACACGAGCAGATTTCAGAGGGAGAACACAATAGATACAGTTAATGAGGCTGCGGATGCACGACGCACAGATGACCATATATTCGCATTCAAGGTGAAAACGAACATTGTTGAGAAAGTTGAATTCAAAGTGAACTTATTGGTTGATTGTGTGTGGGGCTCCACTTCAGGAGAGTTTAAGGCACTCCTAAGGAAGAATCAGATTAAACAAGAAATGTGTGCTCTTTACTCGCCCCATCAAAATGCGTACCATTTTTGAAATGGGGAGATGCATACTCATTGAAAGTGAGCTGCCAAAAGCGTTGTGGCCATATGCAGTGCACACAGCAGTGTACAATCGAAACAGATGTTTCAATGCAAGGGTGAAACAAACACCAGTACAAGCACTGACAGGGCGCAGACCAAATATTTCGAACATACTTTGGCTGCGACTCTCAGCAGAAGAAAAAACTAGACGAAAGATGCAGTCCAGCATACTTGGTATATGTTTTTTCTGATACTGGGAAAGTGATAAGATGTATAGTGGTACACTTTGTCCCAAAGAAAGCTTTTGATTGTATTTCTCGTCTAGTTTTTTCTTCTGCAGCCTCATTAACTGTATCTATTGTTTTTCCTCTGAGAAAGAGAAACTCATTGATTTTTCAAATGATGATGTTTTTGTAAAACGTCCTATTCCTATTGTTGAAAATGCTCCTGAAGAGAATGCAAACAACCAGAAAATGTATCATCCTCTGTTGAACAAAATGGGAGATATCCCAGAAGAGAGAGAAAACCTCCTTCGTATCTGTCTGACTATGACACAAAATCTGGTGAAGACAAAGTCATGTTGAATGTTGATTTTGCTACAAATTTTCTGCTTTTCCTCAAACATTCATCTGAATCGGAGTTTTGGAAAGAAGCAATGAACGAAGAATTCAACTCCCTGGAAGAAAATGGTACTTACACTCTGACCACTCTCCATGAGGAAGAACACAATAGATACAGGGGTGGGGGGGATTTGTGTATACAGTCAAAGAAAGTGCAAATGGTTCCAAGTAATACAAGGCTCGATATGTGGCAAAGGGATATAGCCAAAGAGAAGGACAGATTATCATGAAACTTTTGCACATACTGCACATTTGACTTCAGTGCGTGTTCTCATGCAGATCATTGCACAGTATGATTTAACTTTGCATCAGATGGAAGTGAAAACAGCATACTTAAAAGCTCCCATAGATTGTGAAATCTATGTGGAACAGCCAGAAGGTTTTAAAGTAAAAAATGAAAGTGGATAAATCTTTGCATGGGTTGAAACAGTCTGGCAGGAACTGGAACCAAATGTTGCACAAGTTTTTAGAATAGAATGACTTTGTAGAGTCTCCTTCTGAAAGTTGTGTTTATGCAAACCAAGGCGAGAAAGGTATGATTATGATCCTTGTTTGGATTGTTGATTTGATTGTTGGTTCAAACAAAGACAGTTTTTATGTGCAACATGTCTTTCATCTTAAATCTATCTTTGAATAACTGCTTTAGTTGTCCAAAGATAGATTTAAGATGAAAGACATGGGAAAACTGTCATACTTTCTGGGCTTTAACTTTGAACAAGGGCATTGCTTTGTTAAGATGAACCAAAATGTGTACACTGAGAGGTTGCTTGAAAGATTTGAGATGTCTGACTGAGAGGTACTCAGAGGTACTCCATGTGAACAGAACATAGAATTAAATGAAAGTGAGCCTGGTGATTCCCATAGGTATCGAGGCATTGTTGGAAGTCTAATTTACCTGATGTTGCGTACTCGACCTAATATTTCCTGGGTT